TGGGGATTCCTCGAAGCCGCAGGACGATGATCAGAAGCTTTCTCCGCAAAATCCAACAATCTTAACTCTAAAGCATTCCTCTTTCAGCTTCTGGTGAGACCAATTCACTAAGTCCTTCCAGCCAAATTTCCCTTCTGAAATAAAAGTCGAGTCATTTTTAGAGAGCGATATCAATGAAGAATAAAGACTGCGTTTTTAAGTACTATTAGTAATCCAAGGATTGGAGATTGGCACAAATAACTATGTAAAGTATACATAACAATAGAAATGTTATTGGAAAAGTTTGAATAAATTAGAGCCTTTCCAAAGAGTGAGAACAGTAGAGAAGAGATAAATATACAGTTCATCTTGCCAAGACTAGCCGCAAGCGTTCCTAGCTCCAGACTGTTCCAAATGCTCATAGAAGGTTCCTCCGTCTGCGATACGTAAGGCTGATAGGCACTAGCTGCGACGGCAGTAAGCATCATCTGCTGTTGCTGAAATTGCCAGTTGGATGAGGCAGTCATTGAGGCCGTCAAAATTGGCCTAATCGTCTGCGAAGGCAATGATACATCTCCTGCCAGGGGCGCCCAACCCTCCTCCCGATTAACTGGATCAAGTCTAGGCTCTGTATCTTTGGTGACGGTGGAAACTGAGGTTGTAGCAGCAGTACCTGACGGAGGTCGAAGAACTGGGTCGGCCGAGATGGAACGGTAAACTGAGGTATTGGGGGAGAGGCGAGACCGTGTTAATGAGGTTGATATGCTGGCGACGATCGATTCAGCTATAGCCCCAGCAAAACCACAGCCGTTAGGATCCGGATGCCCATATCCAGGAAGATGGGCTATATTGCGCCGCAAAGGTTCACAAGTCTCGAGACCATTCAGTGAGGAAGTCATATTAACCGGAGTCGAGTTCAGGTGACGCGGCAAAGCTAAGTGCTGTGGTTGATGCTGCTGTGGATTGGAATAGAGAGAAGAGAACAAGCAGTTTGATGCTCCTAAGGACACCCCTCCGACTCCATATGGAGAGGCTGCGGCAGATGATATGCCAGGGGTCAAATTGAACTGTTGTTGATGTTGCTGAAGTTCGTTGAGGGCCTGGCTGCGGACAGCCCAAAGATAAGCACGACTGTCGGGAGGCAACTGCCAACTTGGGTTTGTTAAATGGAAATGCATAAGACTTAACTCTGTTTTGCCGCCAATGGCGGAGGCCGAATGAACCATTTCCTCATCATCCTCCTGCTGCTCCACATCACGTGATACCACCCTTTCTGATCCCGTCCGTCCAGGGCCATCTGGATCAGGCGTCGCAAACCTAGTAGACATGTGAGCACCCGTCGAACTGGGTAGCTTAGGCTTGCGGTCATGAGCAGGATCTACTAAAATTCTGTCAGTCTTCCATGGTCCCTGCTCTTCGCCTTTACGACTATCACCACTTTCGCCGGCATTACGAATGTCGTCATACTCTTCATCAACGGCCACTTCGGTTTCGACGTCGCCCTTTACTTGCGGCTCAGGACCATCATTAGCAGAAGCCCCAAGACTGCCAGCAGGATGCCAAAATGGATGGCCATGACGATTAACATCAAGCATTGCAAAGCTGCAAATATCGCCGACTCCAGGAATCTAAAAAGCAATAATAGCGGTTGGTTGGCAAAATATCTAGCAGCTGCTTGGGAATAAAGCTTGAGAAAATAACTAGTAATTACTAATTTTTTTAATAAATGTAATTTTACAATATCCCAAAGGTTGGCAATATAGGGAATGGACTAGAGGACCTTGGATGAAAGTCATCGACAAATATAGTGGCACTAAAAGTCGTACTTTGCTAATATATACACGAACAAATAACTTCGAAAAATAACTATCAACAAAGCAAAGCTCTATGGTGATATCTCTAAGTGTATCGGGTTAACCAGAATATTTGCAATAAAGGCGACCTCCAGCACTAGCAGAAATATTCATATTACTCCGGTGGGAACGTCGCAGATTCTAGCATTCTGTTCCTAACTTCGTAAAAATACATAGGAGATAAAAATGAAGTCATTTAATATCTAAGCACTTATCTTTAATTAAATATTTTCTTTGTGCACAGTTTTTACGATCTGTATGGCTTGATCCATTTTGTTGAGATAAACATACAACCTGTTCTCTTATAATTTGGACTGAACAAAGGCTCTGCTATCTTGTTTTCTTCGACTCACGTAGCCATGATAACCCACGATCCAGGCAAAGAAAACTTTTTGCCCAGAAGCATTGTAGTGAAACAT